CACCCTAGGGCAGTTTGTTGCCTGGGTGGAATAAAGGGGAAATGAAGAAGGATGGATTTGCTTCTATTTCTTTGGAGAAGCCCCAGTCTTTGCCTTCACTTTGGATTCATCTTCTGGTTTTCAGTGTAGACTCTTCAGACTTCCATTGCAGACCCATTGGCCTCCTGATACAGACTCATATGGGACACTGCAGTAAGCTCCAGACTTTTGATTGGATCCTTTCATCTCCAGTGTGCAGACAGACCATGGGTGGCCATTGTAAGCCAATGTTGTAAATTCTTATACACTTGTATATCTTATATTCTATCTGTTTTTCTAGTAAACGCACTGACTGATACAATGGTTTTAACCATTCTCCTTCCTACTTCAGCCAAACTGAACATTACCTACCATGTCAATGAGACATCATTCATTTAATTTTTCAATTATTCATTCAATAATTACTATGGAGCCAGGGATTTAGCTCAGTGGTTTTGCCACCTGCTGCACAAACGCAAGGACCCGAGTTCGATCCCCGGTACCAAAAAAAAAAAAATTACTATGGAAAACCTGGCTGTTTTAGGAGTTGCAAAGAAAGTGATGAGCTTAGAAAATCTTGTCCCTACTCTCATAGAGTTTACATCCTCAAGATTCCTTTATTGTCCAACAAAAGGCCTGTGTAGTAAAATTCATACAGTCATAAATGTTGAAAAAAAATAACATTTGGTAAGCAGACAAAGAGTGATGTGTGTGTATGTGTGTGTTTGTGTATTTGGGAGAAGTGTTGTGCAATTGTAGATGGGAAAGTTATAAAGAGTCTGTGATCAGGTGGTATCTGAGCTGAGATCTGAGGGAAACAAAGGTGTGATCCACGCAGGTATCTTGGGGCAGAGCACTTCCAACACTGAGAAGTGTAAACGTTTTACTGCCAGGTCTCCTGGGCCTGTTGAAAACACAGGACACCAGTGTAGATGGTGTGAACTGAAGGGAAGAATTCAGAGATGATAGGGGGCCAAGGTCATGTAGGGCCTTGAATGTCATGGTAACAAGGATTCACTTATTTATATATATTCAGGCCCATATGTTTACTTGCCTAACATGCCATAAAACATATCATTTCTTCTAATAGCACTTTTAATAGAAAGTCTTTTCCTGTATTTCTAACAATCAACTAAGGTCTCTTACTTTTTCCTTGCAAAACTTCTTTTTGCTAAGCAGGAAAAAGAATCAATTATTTGGTATCAAGTCTGTCCAAGAATGTGGTTTCCCAAGAGGCTAATAAATGGCACAGTTGCTAAATTGTGGTTAAAAAACAAGATGTTCCTCTCTGTGCTTCCTGAAAAGAACTTCAGGACCCTGTGATGATATACTAGGGAAGAGGAGGTAAAGAAAAGCAGCTGAAAACTGATGCCCAGCAGAAAAATTCCGAAGTTGAGATGTCCCTGGAACGAGGCCAAAGAGCTCATAAAGCTCTAATGTTCCTGTGTTGTCCTCTGGTACCCCAGAGACAACAGTGAGGAAACATCTGAGAAGAAATGCATTCTCCTGGGTTAGAAGGCTAGCTTTGTGCTCTGTTATTTGAACACACATAAGTCCTTATGTTTTTCACTGATGTTTATTTATGTGGCTTAAGAAAAAAACATTTAGAAATTTTACACATAAGACATTCAACATGTGGAGCTGTAAATGAAAAAAAATGTTTCATGTGTGTGTAAGTGTGTGTGTGCAAAATTACTTATAAGAATAACTATACATTTTCATATTTCCCAGGGTAGTCTTGGTTTACTCTTATTATTCCAGTGAAAGTATTAATAGCACTGCCTTTAAATCTCAAAAATATCCTGCATTGGCCAGTAAGTTACATAGTCAGCTACTGTAGTTCATGTTCAAAAGGGGTAAAACTCTTCGCATACTCAACACTAATTAGGATTATTTCACTTTGCAAAATATTTAATTACAGCAGTTGTTAAATAAGAGGTTGAAGGTAGACCTAATAAGGCCAAAAATCAAGAACATCAAAATGAGGTATAAGGAAAATGACAGATGACAGAAAGAAAACCTGTTCAAATATTATCATCTATTTTCAAATACCTAAAATACTCTTTTAAAACCAAATTCGTATTTCTTTGGCAGCAGGATAACTTTAGAACATTAAAATTGTTATTAAATATTATACAAGATGGAGCCCTTTGTAAAAGGATAGCCAGAGGAAGCACTCCTACAACCAAATCCAAACAAACCTTGATGCTGCATCACAAATGCGATGATAGGCATAGATGGTGGGTACTCGCTGAGGCATGGAGAAGGGAATGAGGGCAAAGACCAGGAGAGGACTCACAAGGCCCCTGGGAAAAGATGATGACTGCACTGGACTGTAACAAGTCAGGAGGAGAAGGGAAACATCCTAGACAGAGGGAGTTCCATGTGCAAATGCCCAAGGCACAAAAAACCTTTGAGGGCAGTGAGATCATTGAGATTGAGGGCAGTGAAAAATGTAACACAGACATAGCTGTGGAAGTCTCCAGATATCAGAGAGTAAAGCTAAGTACAACTCTAAATGATTTGAACTCTACTCTCTGTCCATCCTACTGTCTCCAACATGGCTTAATGCCAGAAGAAGTAACAGGAGGCTGCCACTTTAGTATTGAGTGCCAGTCACGTTAGCAGCAAAGTAGACACTAAATTTCAAACTTCCTCTGGGCATTTCTATTAATTTCCCAATTGGCTTAAAATGTAAAGAAGGTATGGGGAGTTGATCAGTATTTTATAAATCCTCAATTTAGAGTTCATAATTTCTTGGTAAAACGTTTGTTAATGTTGACAAGGGCCAGAAGAGGTCATGGAAGTATAATGTCAGCATAGACTGAATGGAAAGACACAGGCATCAAAGATCTCAAAGAAGAAAATCTCAAAGATCAACTACTAGGTGTTGAGCTGATCGCTCATGGAACTGAAGTCTTCCACACTGAAATTCCCCTCTGTAGAGAGGAAAGATCTGTACCAGGTTGTAAAGATCCTAATGAATGCATGGCAGTGACCAGAAATTGATGGTGACAGTGAATATAAGGGAAAAGGGCAGAGTTACTGATACCATATGGGCCTTATTGGAAGACTTTTTCAGGCAGGTGATGAAATCTTTGTTGGAATCCACAAAAGGAAGCAAATGTAATGTTTGCTTCCAGTCCTTAAATTTTTTAGGTTTGGCCCAATAAATATCTTGTAATGAAGAAAGCTACAGGGTAAACAATAACTCAGAGAGAAAGCTAAGTTTTACTTTATTTAAGGCAGAGTAGAGAATGTTTTCAGAAAACAGTAAAAATATATGGGAGACTGTTCCAGAGAGGGTAATGGAAAGAGAGGTTCTGGGGGAAAGCAAGGATAGGAGCCACAAGAATCTGCGAGCAGGCTGTCTCATCCCATGCCGACTCCTGGCCTTCCAGTAAGCTGGATGAAATGGGAAATGATTAAAAAAATGATTTATACATACCATAAACACTTTATATAACTTAAAACATAAATGTACACACATGTGTTGATCTTTTGATGTAAGGCCAGGGCCTGTTCTCTGCATATGGATCCGCTGATTAGAGTTATGCATCTTCTGTCTTACAAAAACCACATCCTTCATCTACTATTTTCAGCACTGCTTTGTTTAAAGTGGAAGGAGAACCTGAATACCCCATGAAATAATGTGAATGCAGAACCTATCTAGATTTTTATAAGCCACACCCTGTCTGCTACTTTTTTCTTCCCCGTGTGGTTTCTTTTCCCTGTCCCTCAGTCCTTTATCTCCTAGCTTTTCTTGTTTGGGGGAAGAGAGGCTAGAAGTTAGAGAACAAGGTGAAAGAGTATCAAGAGCTCTAGAAAATGGGTCTGAAGCTCGTGTTATTTCTGGGTTCCAATCTGTGTCCATTCCTGTTATTTTAGCATTCACATCTAGGAATTGAGCCTGCTTGCTATTTTCACTATGTACTCTTTTCCTTCACCTGAGCTTCTCTTCCAGTTAAGTAGGGACCAGTATTAATATTCATACTCCCACTAATCATATATAAAGGGATGGGTAACAAAACTAAAACACAGAAGTGTTTTACTTTCAACAAATAGTACCAATGTCAGTAGGATTAGGCCTACCCTATCCTAAACACGTCACTAATTCTCTTCCTTCATTTTACAGTACAAGGCATTCCTTTCATGCTCCTAGGAATTTGGCACAAGTTTTCTGTATTTCTTAGTAAAGAGTCCCCCATTTGGGAAGTCTCTCCCTGACTACTCTGCAACACAGATTAAACAGAGAGTCAGAGTAGAGGGTATTGGTTGTTGCTAAAATGCTGATTTATGGCTAGCCAGCATCTGCTGAGCACTTACTGAGGTTAACCAATCTGTCCAGTGCCTGTACGTTTTGGGCATCATCTTGTCTAGTGATCACTAAGGTGATATTATCATCATAAACTCATTTTAAAGATAAATTAGCAAGACCAGTAGGAGTCAGTATGATGGCTGAGGTCACACATAAGTACTGGACCACAACTTGAATCTAGGTAAGTGGGTTCAGAAGTTGTGCTCTTACCCTCTGTACCACACTGTCTCTTCTCAGAATGCCCAGGCTCAAGTGAAATCATTTATAATTTAGAAGACTTTTCTCATTGATATACACAATAGTAATGATTCCCTTTACCTACCAATTACCCTCATCCACACAATATAGGGAAAAAATTAGCTTAAGACATTCATCTAATTGTTCTAACGTGATGTTTATCTGTTTAAGACAACAAAAAAACTAGTTGACTAAAATGTGCTCTTTCTGGTCTAACCAACCTTATTTGGAATAGGATGATGGAGGGCAATACAGCTGCTCATCACAAAAGCAATTCCTACTCAGTACATGTCATAATCCTTTCCCCTGGACAAACATATAACATCTAGAACACAGTGGGAGGCTAGAGATTAAGACTTATAAAAGAGGATAGGAAAAGTGGGGAAACCAAGTAGTCACTTGCTAAGAAATGAAATCATTTACTTACTTTTTTGGTACACTTCTTGACAGTGTTGATTAATTCTTGCATTACCAAATCTACACTCTTCAATGAAGGCCCTTTCAGCTTTACAATTTGTTTCTTGACTATTGCTTCAAATGCCATGTCTGGTGTAAACAATCCTGTCCTGAACATGAGAGAGAAAGGAGCTTATTAAATTTAGATAATTAAGTAGTATCCAATAATCTTTGGAAAATGTTTAAATTGGCATGCCATTTAAATTAAGCATATAACACCAATTTCTACACAAAAGCTACGTAGCAATTTGATCTATCCACAGTACAACTATAGCATACTTTGTTTGTTTGTTTTGTGGTACTAGGGGTTGAAACCAGGGCCTTCACACTGAGCTGCATCCCAGTCCTTTAATTTCTTTTTTCAATTTTAGGACAGTGTCTTATGAAGTTGCCCAGGCTGGCCTCAAACTCATGATCCTCTGGCCTCAGCTCCTTGAGTAGTTGGAACTACAAACATGTACCACCAACAGCCTAGCATAGTGATATGTCTAATCGTGCTAAAACATGATAAGTTCTGATCTGTAGGGAGAGGAACATAACCTAAAAATAATGCCCAAGAGCTGGGATTTGGCTCAGTGGCAGAACACTGACACAGCATATGGAAGGCCCTGGGTTCAATCCTCGGCACAAAAAAAAAAAAAAAAAAAAAAAAACCAGTCATAAAAACAAAACAAAACAATGTCCAACACATTTTCATAACTTATAATGTGAGTTTTAGCCAATACTTCACTGTAATTGGTCTGATCTCATAGCTTCAAAGCAATAAAAAGGAATGCAGCCAGCTCTCCATGTCAGCAGTTTTCCTGTCTGTAGATTCAACAAACCACTGATTGGAAATATTCAAGGAAAAAATGCATCTGTATTGAACATGTACAAACTTTTTCTTGTCATTATTGTCTAAACAATATAGTATAACCAGTATTTACATAGCACTTACATGAAATAATTTTAATACTATAAGATGACTATAAATTATGAATTCATAAAAATAATAAATGAGAGTCAAAATAACAAACATCTTCCTTTCAACTGGAATTAATGCATCTTGGGGTCACAACAATGATTTTTCCATGCTGAGCAAGAATTCTGAGAAGCAGATATAATACATGTGGGACATGTGTTTCATAAAAAGTAAAAAATTCTTACTCAAAGGTAAACAAAAGATCAAAAAAGAAAATCTACAGAAGAGGACCTCTACTTCATGCACTGCATTTACTCATTCTTCCCGGTGCTGGGCAGGTCCAAGGACTTTTAGGTTCGAGGATTTGCCACTTGATCCTTCCTGATCCTAAACCCTCTCCCCTCCCCTTTGCACTCCTCCTTAATTCTCTTCCCTTAGTTACTCAATTCATGGGACCTCTTTTGGGAAATTTCTTTAACACTTCCTTTCCACCAGTTTTACTCAATGTCCCTTCTTGTCACTGAGCATCCTGTATTTCTCTGTTTTTTGTCTAAAGCAATCATACTATAATTGTAATTTCTCCACTTTGGGTACAGAACAAAATTCAAATTGTCTCCCATCTTACCTTCACAGCTAAATGGCTAAATGAGTACGCCATTAGTATGTCCCACATTCAGGGCATTGTATGTTTCTTATCATCTCACACGTAAATTAACCCCAGAAGAATAACAACAACCGGACTCTTACGTTGGTATGCATACAAATCAGAAATTCACAATTCTTAATTACTAAGCTGTTATCTTCAACAACAAAAAAATTATCTGGTAAGGAGGTTTACAAGCAAAGTAAAATAATTATGTTTTGGTTGAGCTACAATATCTTGTGATTCCTGCCCCCCGCCCCGGAAAAACGTGACTTGGTTCCCTGCATTTGTCAGATAAAGTTATACAAATACTAGGTCTGCCCCAAAAAGGAACAAGATAGCATTTATACCAAGTGTACTTCAGACTCGATGGAAATAGAGTAAGAAACTTAAAAATCCTGTTGATGGTAAGACAAAATTATTGGATTTGATTACAGGTGTTCTCCCCCCCTTTCAGTTTGTAAACTCATATTTATGCACTCTGTTTGAGACTTTGGAGAAAATTGTCTAAGTTTTTAAATGATTGATAATTCTATCATAATTGCTTTGGAAAATCACCTGTCACATGCACACTCAGTGTCAAGCTTTACCCTCTCAGTCTGTTCCCAACATGGTCTCAATTTCTGCCTGTTGAGTGGCAGTGGCAGAAACTGAGCTACAACTAATCACAGACAGGCCACACATCTTTCCTAAGAGGAAGTTTATCAACTAATTTGCCCTTCCTTGAATTCAGGACACTTCTATTTAGCATATGCTCCCTGAACTATGTTTGGCCGTCTGTATAAGAACTCAAGAAATGTGTTTTAAAATAATGTTTATGATAGTTCTTTAAAGAAAGTACATTGGAATGAATTATGTATTATCCTAAAAATTCAGATGCTGAAATCCTACCCAAAAGCTGGGACCTCTGGCAGAAAATTAGGTCATAAGGGTGGAGCCCTCATGAATGGATGTATACCTTTCTAAGAAGAGGTAGAGAACTAACTAGCTCTCTGTCTGCCGAGTGTGGATACAATGGAAAGCGAGCAGTCCGCAAACTGGACAGGTTCTCCCCAGAACCCAACCATGCTGACACCCTAATTCTGTCCTCCTAGCTTCCTGAACTGGGAGCGATAAACTGTTGCTGTTTATAAATCACCCACACTACGGTAATTTGACTAAGCTAGAAATAACTTAGAATGCTCTCACACAAAGCAACAGGAAATTCAGGCACAAGTTGGCCCCAACCCACCTCCCAGCTCACGTCCCTCCTTCTCTCCTACCCACATTCCTCAGACCAAACAAAGTGCAGGACTCACGAATACCTGCTGCCTCAACCCGCCTCTGTGCCTCAACTCACTGCTCTTGCATCCTCCAGCCTCAACAACCCCCATTTTATGCCCCATCTTCTTACAACTCATGGTGTCTTCACCTGTTCCGTACACATGTGCACACACCTACACACAACACTTGTGGGCTTGTTGAAATCATCTGCTAAACGGGCAAGGTGCAATTCAAAAGTAACCTTCATCACTCTTTCCCAGTCTTGCTCCACAACTCCAGTCAAAATGAATGTGTTCCTTCTCTGTGTAAATAATGACTATTTAGGAACATGTCAGGCCTCTCTCATTAATGTATATATAAAGCTGTGGAGAACAGGGTCGTGCTTGTCTTTGAATCTCTTATTGTGCAGAGTATGTGTTGTAAGTGCAGAGAGCATTCAGGGTTTTGTTTTGTTTTTTTCACTGAAAAAAAAAACAAACTAGGACAATATAGGAAATTACCATTAAGCCCAGACTAAAATTTCCTATATCTGACTTCTGCCTCTTCCTCTACTCTGTTCAGAAGATGAAAAGGTGACTTTACTAGCCATTTATAAACATTCATTTTCCTTTGGTAGCTTGGACTGAAGACAAGAAAATGTGAATCACTTGCCTGATACCATGTATGTTTTTGATTGCATAGCTTATTTCTCTTCTCAGTTCTTTCTCATTGAACTCCATCTGCAGATGCAAAATGAGCCATGGTTATGACACTTAATTCCTTTGAATAGTAATATTGTTGAATATTACAGAATGAGAGTAACTTGACTCGGTTATTAATAATTGGATACTTGTGTCTCTCCTAGCTAAACCCAGATGGTCAAAACATCTGTTTATATGAAGTTCAACACAACGTAGAACACTAGGAATTTCTGGGAGTTTTAGGGCAACAGATTTTAACTCTACTATGTGTAAGAAGTGCTGTGCATAAAGAATTCCTTCTGGACATAAATATAGCCATCATTTGAGATATAGAATTCTTCATTTCTTTGCTGAATATAGTAAATTTGAGGATACAGGTGAGTGCATAAATGTTGGTGTCACCTGATGTGAAACAGCAGTACAGCTGTCCTGAGAGTAACAGTGGCTGTCTTTTCTCCCTGGCCATTTTAACCACCTGAATTCAAGGCCTCTTTATAAAAGGAAATTAATAATATTCAATCAAGCCAACACAGGATAATTACTGTATAAATATTTCCTAGAAGTCCTAGGTACCATAAATCTATTTGGAAGTAGGACCAGAGTATCACAGAGCATAGTCCTGGAAGGGATAGCCAGAGAACACTGGGCTCTTGGCTCTGACTGAGATCCAGCCTCTCCTGCCTTCTGCCTCTCTATTTCCTTCCTAAAGCTTGATGCCCTAGGACAGTAACCAGTCCGAGGTCTCTCTGTACCCACGCCTTGTGGCTCCATGGCTCAGAGCCTTAGCCATTCCTCCCTTTCTGTCAGAACCGCCCGTCCCTCCCCCACCTCTTAGTGCCTCACCAGCCACCATCTTTCCAAACTCAGCTCAGAGCCTGGCTCCTGTGAGTACTTGGCCTGAGACTCACTTTTGTGGGCTGTGTTTCCATAGCACTCTGTGCTGCAGTTTATCACTTTACTTAGCACATTTTAAGAACACTATCTATTTACCCGCTTTGTTTCCCACACCATAAGCATCCACCTCTTTGTGAGCCAAACAGCATAGTCTCTAAAACTGCTTAACAGCCTTACTGGGCATTTCATACTTAGCAAGTCCAAAACAGAATTCTCAATGCACACATCCACACCAACCCAGCTTTTCCTCAGTTTCCTTCTGATGGGTACCACCACACAGTTGTGAAAATCAAAACCTAGGGAATCATCTAGAATCTTCTGTTTTCCAGGCCCCATTTCCACCCAAGTCCTATCAACCTTACCTCTAAAATCCCCTCTCATTTATCTGCCTCTATCCTCTCACATCAGGTCATTTTTGCTTACTGGGATGCTAAAGAAATTTAAGTTGCAGAGTTTCTCCCATGCAAAAGACCTCTTCCAAGACCCTGTGCCTAACTGTGTTTATAATTTTATATTCTTTATCTTCAAGGGAGCTTCCAAGATTGTAGAAGCTTTAGGCCTTACATAGAGTGATTCCACTTCTGGTCTGACCTCACTATTTTCCTTGCCTTTCCTGTCTCTTGCCCCTTTGCAACTTAGCAGGTATAGTGTTTAAGATCAAATTAGGTCAAATCCCTGATTAAATCTCTCTTAATCTACAAATGCCCACTGTTAAATGTAAACACCTCATTCTAACCTAGAAATCCCTTCACGAACTGGGCACCTCCTTCCTCTCTCTGAATCCACTCTCCTCCTCTTCATCGCTGCAACAGCCACATCCACGCTTCAACTTCCATCTTCATTGCCGGGTTAGGGCTTCACCCAAGGGCGCTCCTCTGTCTTTGAATGACTCGCTTCCCCTGCATCTTTACATAGCTGACCTCTTCGTGCTATTCTGTCATGATTCCAGTGTCGCCTGCTCAGCCAGCACTTGCCTGAGCACCTCATTAAAAGTGGCTCTCACCTCGTATTATAATAGTAATACTTTTCTTATGTTGTCTGTTTGTTAATTTTCCATCTTTCCCCATTAGACAAAAGACCTATATTTTGATCACTGGCACTAAAAAACTTCATAAAAGAATTAGACAACACATAAACATTATAGAAAACTCAATATTACTTTAAATGACCTGAAATGTTATTAAATCTCTTTAAATAAAATCAGAAATGAAAATATTTCTCTCCTGAATTTCATTACCCAAGTTTAAAGGTTTTTGTTCAAAGAACTATCTAATCCCACACCACTCACATAATATTATATCAAGAGCTTTGTAAGACAGAATATGAAAACGAAGTAGAATGAAAGAGGAAAAAATGATATTCAGTACAGACCTTCACTATTTCAAAAGGAAAGCGTTCGTGGAAAATGCGATTGATTTTAGCACCACCTGAGAGCTCCAGAGTATCTACTTGATCCCCTGACCCTTCGATTCTCTTCTCAAAGTCCACAGCAAATTGCTGAACCATCCTATGGGGTGAAAGAGAAATAAATTCAAGTTAAAGTTACATGGCTTTGCATTCCTCATTTTATTTTTCTATGGTGATTCCTTGAAATCCTTTTAGAGTGTTCTTAGTGGCACCTACTGGTAGAGCTAACACTATACCTTGTTCAGCTCCCTAAATTTCATTACGTGAAATACCCACAGTTAAGATTTTAGCCACTTAACTAGTGTAAATACTTTAAATATCTCTGTCTTTAAATGAATATTGAGCCAGGTATGGTGGCACAAGCCTGTAGTCTGAGCACTCAGGAGGCTGAGGCAGGTGGACTGTCATGAGTTTGAGGCTAGCCAGGGCTACATAGTCAGTTCAAGGCCAGCCTGAACTACACAGAGAAACCCTGACTCAAGAACAACAAAGAAATCTGACCATTTGGTTGCAGCTATGAAATAATGAAACTTGAATTAAAAATTAAAGTTATGTAATAAAATTTTAGTAGATTAGTCACATGCACTTCTGCTCCTGTGATGTCACACTTTCCCAGTGTCCAAGCTGCTGCAGTTGAATTCCTCCTGCTTCAGAAGCTACTCTTTCTGTCTCAGTACTCCAGTCTCTGTTTCTCTTCTTTGTCTCATGTTTGTCTTTATGATCTGAAGGGGGCAGCCACAGCTTCAAGGGTTATCAGGAAACTATCTTCTCCAGACCTTTATTTCTAGCTCTTAATTTTGGGAATGATTGGTTCACATGCTCAACTGTCTAATGGCATTTTGTTTTCTCTTAGCTGCCTTGAACTCAGCTGAAACTTGAACCACTTGACTTCTCTCACTGCCAAATCAGCTAATTCTTCTGCATTCCTGACTTTCTCCTCATGATGGATGGCATCATTCACCCAAGCAGGGACTCAGGGGCACCCTCACACCTTGTTTTCCCTCACCCTGAATTTCACTCTACCTCCTTTCCATCCCTTAGACAAAAAACACTTCCACACCACCCCTGACTCTGCCTTGCTTCAGCCCTCTGCACCTCTTCTAGTTAATGTAATTTTTAAATCACCAGAATGGTATATGAATCAATATTCACTGAAACAATGGAAAATCTAGAGAACTTCTCTCCAGCTACTCTCTCCTATATGCTGCGTGTCACCTGGCTCACCCAATGACCCAAGAACCAGCTGTACCAAGGTTTACACTGGTTTCTTAGCCTCCTCCTTCCACCTGACAAACTCCTCATACTTCAGATCTCAAGTGCTATTTTCTTGGTCAACTCACATCATTCTTCACACATGACTGTTTCCTTGTCTGGGCTCCTTACACTTTATATTTATCAGAAACAGTATTCACCAATTGCTGAAACAACTACTTGCTCATATGTCCACATTCCCCAACTCTACTCTGACTTCTTGAAGGCAAAAATATTATATACTGTTGAATCTTTGGAAGATATCCTAGGATCAGACTATGGGTAGGGTACATGAAGAGACTGGAGGAAGGAGGAAGGAAAGAAGGCAGAGGGAGGGCAGGAGGGCAGAAACAGATCAGAAAAGATAGGGTCCTAGAAAGTAGCTGAATCAGCCCTTTACAAGGCAACCATCTAGCTGTGAAAAATTCTGTAATCTGAATCCCATGAAATCACAGAGGCAGCTCTGTCTTTGCATTCCAATTGCAGTGGATGTTAAGATAACAAGATAATGACCTAGGACCTGAAGAGAAATAGCTTTCCTTTCTCTGTAACTTGCAGAGTTTTTATAAGAGCTTAACCCTTAAAATCAAGGGAACTAGGGAAGAGTTACATGTAAGAGAAATTTTTACCTTAGTATGATCTTATCATTTTTAAATGAAGAAATATAAGATGATTCATTTAAGATATTATATAGAAGGATTGTGGTGCCATAAGAGGTATCAAATATTGTCTTTGGAGAGACACCTCAGGCAGGAGTCCTTCAGTTCGGAGGGACCTAAAGGGAGGTGCAGCACAGGGATAAAGGGACAGATGAACCCAAAAGGGACCAAGGGAGAGAGCAAAGGGATAAAACACAAGGTGCTGGTAACTCTCTAACAACTCTACCCTAGGGAGAAACCTACTAACCCGATGATAAGACAAGAGATGCAGGAGTAAAAGGTGGCACAGAGGGCTGGAGATTTAGCTCAGTGGTTTCACCGCCTGCTGTCCAAGGACCTGAGTTCAATCCCCAGTACCAAAAAAAAAAAAAAAATGGCACAGAGGTTTTCACATCTGCACTTTTAAAGACATTGAGATCATTACCAAAAAGGAAAAAGAAACATGAATGTGGCCTTATTGTCTGTCTGCCACTGGAAAAATGCATAGCTAACTCACATGAAATAATTGAAATAAAAAGATAATGGTTTCTCTGGTGTGAGAAACTGAAAGCGTAAATAAGGATCAAAATGTATAATTGATAATTTGAAATAGGAAGAAAAGGTCCAAAGGGGAAGGGAATGTGGGAGGGGTTAGGAAAAGGAAAGAAGGGAATGGAATTAATATGAGAAAAGGAAAAAATGGAAACAAAGTCTTTGTAAATAGGGAGGGATGGAGGCATTGAACAGAGGGCAGGGGAATGGGGAAAAAAATAAGAACTAAGGTATATCATGTAAAGGTACAAGTTCCCAATGATGAATGTCATCATATTCTATACCTAAAATGTACCAATAAACTGAATGAATAAAAAAAGATAATAAGGACAAGAAACATCTATAAAAACACTGATAAAATTCACATGAGGTTTTCATCTGTATTTACTCACTTCCAAAACTAAAGACAAAAATAACCTTGCTGATCACTGAGTTTTACTCACTGACTAAATCCAATTTAACACATTTAAATAGGGCATGGGACAAGGTAATAGGTTAAATTTATAATAACAAAATAAGAGCAAAAAATCATTCTATAGACAACCTAAAAATTCAAGGATTACTGTACAACACAGAGAAATTTTCATATCCTTGCTGTTTGCTTCAGGCCTAAAAAACAACCTGACAAACAGGCTAAGGCAAAAGCAAACCAGAGAAATCAGTTCAAAGTGAACAGGAAAAGAGAAAGGTAACCTACTGCAGCAGGGCTTTGGTCTTCCTGGTGGGGTCTTCTGGTTTGAAGTTTTTATAGGCTTCTACTTCATGTTCTATGGACAGCAATTGCCCCTGCAGCTTGTTCCTGAAGTTTGGCAGGGTATCTCGAATGTGGTTGGTGAGTTGCTAAATAAAACGAAACAAAATGATACAACAGATTGAAGATTAACTCATGAGACGAAAATCAGCCTTCACTGTTTTCCTAATCATTTACAATCTTAACTGTATATATACAATATATATATTATATTATATATGCAGTTTGTGTATGCGTGTGTGTGTACGTGCATGCACTGTACATTAAGGTTAGGTAAGCAGTGAGAGGAAACACTGTCTTTTTTCACTGCCCCTTGGAGCTGCTCAAAATTCCTTCAATTGGATCCCTCACTTGGGTCATCTCTTTATGTCCTAGAAGACACAGTTCAAATACAGCTATCACCACAATGAAGCTGCCCCAAAACACCATAGCATGGATTGGTTTATCAGATCGCATACCTTGCAGAGAGGAGCCTTAAATTAAAATGTGGTAAGAATGAAGGAAGCCAATAGTTATAGGTGCTGTCTGATGTTTTTGAGGGCAAATGGATGAGCACACATCTGGAGCTCAGGTGGCCAAAAATGCCACAGGCACCCACCCACTGCTAACTCTCTCTGCCCCCTGCAACTCAGCCAGGGGCTCTCTCTTTGCTCCATCTCTAGGCCTTAGTCAAACTCTGGCTGATCACTGGCTCCTGCCTTCAAGGAGCGAACCTAAAACTTCCATGACCAAGGATGGGAAGCTTTCTCTGCTATTGACATTTCTACCTGGCCGTGTGCTTGGTATTTCCTCTGAGATCAGCAGCATCCTGAGCTCAGTACAATGAAAACTTCTCTAAGAGACTTCAGTACCTGATTCATTAAGAATAAAATGGAGTATAACCCCAGATTGCTCAGCTGTCTGCCATATGTTCTCTCTACAGTACAGATGAAGAAAAATCTGAATTAAAAGAAAAAAAAGATAGTTTTCTTAAACTGAGTAATAAGATGAAAATGGAGATATAAATTTCATAGAAATACAAGGAGAAGAAAAATAATTTGAAAGTAAGAATAAATATACCCAGACTGAAGAAATTATTTTAAATTATCTTTGTGTGTATCTGCAGTTACCTCAATAAATCTATTCAATAAATTTATAGCTATTTAATCGTCAATAGTTCTTGATTATATTCCACTGCCTGTAGGTGTGAATTGTTGTTCGTTCCAGGCATGTGTTGCTCCTGTGGCTACTGAGCAGAAAACAGTGGAATGGAGCAGACTACATTCCTAGTAGCAGTGTCACAAGAGGCAAGGACCCAAATCTACGAATAACAGCAAACCTGAAAACCCAGCAACCTCCAGATTCACCATGTGAGCTGGCATAAAGGCACTAGGTTTCCATTTTTGCTTCTCGTATATCTCAATAGTGAAGCAACATTGTGGCCCCTTCTTGGCTTTCTAAAACACTTCTTTCCTTGATTTCTATTAACTCCAGCTCCTCTAATTTTTCTCCTAGCCATTCTGGACATAACCTTCTCTATCTCCTTGATAGTTCATTATCCTCACCATACTGGTAATATTGAGATTTCTCAAACATGGGTCTTAGGCCTCTTAGTTTACTCCCTGTTCTCTCTTGACGTAATCTCATCTCATCCAAGGCTTCAGTAAACACCCACACACCATGATCACTGAAACACTATCTCCAAAAAGGACTTCTAATCTCTTCTGTGTGCTTATATATTTGACGACTTTCTTGACTCCTCTTTTTAGATGTGTCCACAACATCTCAGCCTCAACACATCTCAAGTCAAGTAAATAACTGCTATAGTTTGGATCCAGAGCACCCCCTCAAAGGCCCATACTTTGAAGGCTTGGTTCCCAGCCTGTGGTGCTTTGGGAAAGTGGTAGAACACCGAGAGGTGGGGCCTAATTGAAGAAAATAAGATCACCTAGGGCATAATTTTAACAGGAATACTCGGGCCCTGACCCTTTTTCTCTCTCTTTACTTCCTGGCCACCATGAGGTGAGCAGCCTTCTCAACCACCAGCTCCCACCATGATGTGCTACGCTGCCACAGGCTCAAAACAACAGGGCCAAGTAAACAGGTTTGAAATCTCTGAAGCCATGAGCCAAAAACAATTCTTTCTTCCTTATTAGTTATTTATTTCTAGAATTATACCTTAGCAACAGAAAGGTGACTAACAGTAAATTTGTAACATGAAGTGGGGTCACTGTTGTGACTGTAAGTGACAATGTGATTCTGAAGACTTGGGAACTGCTTTGTGAGAGGACTTTGGAAAAGCTTGCAGAAGTGCCCTAGAAAGCCTAGAACATTATAAGCAGAGCTGCATGGGTGAACTGGGTGGGGCTGCAGAAGACCAGAATGGTAACAGGAACACAAACAGTAAAGGTTACACTCCGGGATTTCAGATGGAAATAAGGACTACATTGGGAATTGTATTAAAGGCCACCTTCTTTACCCTGTGGCACAGAACCTGCACGGATTATTTTTTAATCCCCTGAGACTTTGTGGAAGACTAAGTTCAAAAGCGACCCACTAACTAATCCAGAGAAAATTTCAATACAGCACAATATTCAGGCAGTAGCATGCACATTACTAGTTTCTTTTAACCAAATGTATAGTGAGAAGCAGGAGCAAAAAGCAGGGTAAAGAGATTGCAAAAACTTCTAGTTGGGCCAGAAAAGGAGAGTGTTTAAAGTTCCAGACCTAGAGGGTGAAGTTGCTGGCGATTCTTCATAATACTAAAAACAAGTCAAGGATTGTACACCGGAAGAGTAAGAAAGGCACTTTAAGGGCTTCTTTGAAATTAGCAAGACCTCCACTCATCACAGGCCCAAGAACACAAAGGTGTAAACTCCTTTCAAAGATCTTGGCCTGAGAAGACAGCCCCAAGTTTCCCTGCTCACACAGAACTACCTAGGAAATTGTTCTCCTGGGATTTCATTTCTCCACCATGGGGACTCCCAGGAAGTTACAGGTGCCAGTAACATGGAACGCTTGCTGAGGGGCATTCCAGGTAGTGAACAGAGCCAGCTCAAAACAGTGACCGTGTTGGGTATGGACAACAAGGTCTCAGGAATGGGGCTTCCCAAGCTGGATGGAGTTCACTTCACTGCACTCTGTGCTCTGGGTGCTGGACATGGAGCTACAGGATTTAATGTTTTCCTACTGGGTGTCATTCTTGGCTTGATCTCATCTTTCTATCCCCCTATTCCTTTTGGAATGAAAATGTTTACCCTGTGATGTTGTATTTCAGAAGTATGTCACTTAGTTTATTTTTTTACAAAGTCTCATAATTAAGAGTTTTCCTTGCATGTCAGAGGAGACAAAAATATAAATATAAATTTATTAGTACATATTATACTGAATAGTGAGTTACACTATGACATTTTATACATGCATATAACACAATTTGACCCTATCCATCCCCCTTGAATTATTTTGGGGGGAAGCAGGGTCTTGTTCTGCAGTCCAGGCTCGCCTTGAATTCACTATGTAGCACAGAATGGCCTCAAAATAACAAGTCTCCTGCCTCAGCCTCACAAGTGCTGGGATTATAAGCTTGCACCACCATACTGGCTCCCCTTGGACTTTTACGGAATGTCAGAATGCTTTAAGACTTTGGGAATCCTTGGAGAAGGACTAAATGCATTTTGCTGAAATAGACATGAGCCTTTGGGGGTGAGGGGCAGAATGCTATACTTTGGATCTGGAGTGTTCCCAAAAGCCCATGTGTTAAAGGCTTAGTTCTCAGCCTGTGGTGTTGGGAGGTGGTGGAACATTTAGCAGTTGGGGCCTAGTAGAAGGAAGTCAAGTCATGGGGGTGTGTGACCTGGAAGGGGGTAGTAGAATCCTGGTTGCTTCTCTCTTTCTTGGTTTTCTCCTCTATTATGAGCTCCCACTGTGACAGCTTGTGCCACCACTGGCCCAGAGCAACAGGGCCAAGTAACCATACACTGAAACCATGAGCCAAAATAAATCTCTCTTCCTTATAACTTGTTCATTTCAGGTATTTTGTCACAGAGTTGCAATATTTCAAGTATACTGCCACAGTGACATTGCTCTTCCTCTCAGGGTTCTCCATCATATTACAGTAATACATCATACCCTTAATTTTAAAAGTGCAAACTTTATAGTAGCCTCTATTGTGCCACTCAAAATAGAAATATACCACTGATTTTTATTTTCTGAAACTTCTCCAACTGTTTTGCCTAAATGGTTCCAATGCAATATCATTTACTGTGACAGCCTCTGCTGATACCTTCAAAGTGCTACATCAGAATGTTCAGTAACTGTCTCATCGACTGACTGCCTTAAAAGATAGGAGTTAAAGCACAATTAATAATTTGTGAGGAGACCTGCACACCATATAAAGTCAACTGTAATGAAAACTCAAGAAAGGGGCTCTGCACTCAATGACAATGACACCTGTCATGACACTTAACTCCAACAGGGGAAGGAAAATGTGTCACCAAGTAAGTGTGGTGAGGTTCTGTGAAAAAATTGTATGTGGTACCAGGAGGGGGATAAGCAGAAGGCCAATTGTAATTCTATTTATTTTAGGGAAGTGAATTACTTTATTTTTTCCCATTAAGTTTATTGGTACATTTTTGGTATAAAATACAGTTACATTCATCATTGGGATCTTGTACCATTACATGGGTCTCTTGGTTCTTATTTGTTTTTCCCCTTCCCTTGCCCTCCCTTCACCCCCTTCACCCTTCCCTATTTGCAAAGACCTTGTTTCCATTCTTTTTCCTCTTCTCATATTTTTTCCTTTCCTTTTTTTCCCTTCCCCTACCTCTCCCAATTCCCCTGCTCTTTTAGACCTTTTCTTCCTGTTACACAATATCAGTTATACA